ATGGGCTTTGTGCATGTTTATTGTGAATAAAGGTTTGCAATTGTTTCAGTTTTTATGTTTTTCAAAGATATGGGTCTATCCACATTCAAACATTTTTTTTTTTCTCAGAGTGCAAAATTTATATAGGTGTCAACCTTTATTAATGCTCAACTTATTTGAGAGTAAAGATGGTAATCCCCAACTATTCACTTTGTGTGTGAGTACCAAAAGAATACAGTAATTGTGTACCTTTCAAAGCTAACAGTGAGGTGCTGATCATGATTCGATAACACTGTCGTATGAACTACAACACATCTTTATTCTGAGTGTTTGCTTCTGACAATTAGCTTCTCCCTTGAGTGTAACTTGCCTAGCTAAATTTACCTTGGGAACCAATTTTAGGGCCTTTGAACTCGATGCGGTTTAGGGGCCCTTTAAAGCTCCCAAGCGTGTAGTGAATTGTAGAGATTGAGTCTGTTTTTGTTTTAATCTTGGATTGGCTTTTTTTTTGCTTTTTTTGTGCACAATGGAGGCAGAAATAAAACCTTTACAAATATTCCTCTATTTTATGACTAGAAAATGTCTCCACTACTTTTGTACTTGTGTTGAGTCTAATGTTCTTTCATAATCTATGACTGCCATATGGAGAGAACAGTTTCACTTATTCTTTCTGTGATGTCAAGAGAGATGTGATTCATTGTAAAATGCCCTTTCTTCTGGGTTGACTAAAGCCAAATATTGCACTGACTTTGTCGAAACTAGTTTGGTGACAGTTCTACTCAGTAATGAAAGCAAATGAATAAGTTTATTGAATTCATTAACTTCTTTTGCCTTGTGGATTAGTATGATGTCGGTATTTTTCAAACTCTGGTGCACTTGTAATTTACATATGTGGGTCATTCCATTCGACGTTATTATTAGGACCTTGTGCATTACTTATCAGTACCTGAACAGAATGGGCTATTACTGTCCTGCAGGCCGTCGACTGCCTTATAATTCTGCCCCTTGAAACTGAGAAGTGGTTGAAATAACCTGTCCTTTCATGGTACCAGAAGGAACATATGTACCATTTCATAAAACTAGCACTATAGCCCATTTTTGACATTCTATACAGCAGTATTACTAAAACAAGTGACGAGCAGTTATATGACATGCATTACTCGTTGCCAAAAAGCCCCGGTGGAACCTCATGCTGACGTGCTATTTATTCATTCAATACTGCCAGCAACACCTTGGTCGCCAAGACAGGAGTAGTTACATTTCAGTGAACGTTTGGATTAGTTACAAAATAATGTCATGTTACAAGTACATAATACCAAGGAAATATATGAACATCAACAAGATAATTAATCAGCAGTAAAATCTGACTTACTGATTATAAATAACAAAGCACACAATCACTCAAAATACAATGAACATTCAACAATAAGTGAATCACTATCCAGTAAAAAAGCATACCCAGCGATGACAAGTAGGTTGCAATAGCCGACAAAAAATAATCAGACCTGCAGTGAAGGTGAGGCTAGGACAAGCTTCGTACTACCTTGTGGTTGTTCAGATGGAAATTTTTTTTACTTCCTTAAAACAAAATCTCATCATCATAATCAGCCTGACTACACCCACTGCAACGCAACGGCCTCTCTCATGATGCGCCAATCAGCCCAGTCTTGTGCTTCCTGCTGCCACGTTATAGCTTCGAATATTTCAATCTCATCGGCCCACCTAACTTTCTGTCTCCCTCTCGTGCATTTGCCTTCTCTGGGAATCCAGTCAGTTACCCTTAATGGCCAGCAGTTGTCCTGTCTAGGTGCTACATGCCTGGCCCATGTACATTTATTCTTATTGATTTCAACTATGAAAGCCTTAACCCCGGTTTGTTCCCTGATACACTCTGCTCTCTTCTGGTCTCTTAAGGTTACACCTATTTTTTTTTTTTTCCATCGCTCGCTGTGTCCTGCTCAATTTAAGCTGAACCCTTTTTGTAAGCCTCCAGGTTTCTGCTCCATAGGTAAGTACCGGCAAGATGCAGCTGTTATATACCTTTCTTTTGAGGGTTAGTGGCAGATTGCCATTCATGATTTGAAAATTCTTACCCAATGTGATCCACCCCATCCTTACTCTAGTTATTTCACTCTCGTGGATCGGCTCCACGGTTATTGTCTGTCCTAAGTAGACATATTCCTTTACAACTTCCAGCATCTCTCCACCTATCGCAAAGTGCTGTTTTCTCCCAAGACTGCTGCACATTACTTTAGTTTTGTCCATATTAATTTTCAGACCTACTCTTCTGCTTTCTATGTCCAGTTCAGTAATCATAAGCTGTAAGTCGCCCCCTGAGGGCAAAAACCAAAAAAGGTTTTTACTCGCGCCGACTTCCTGGGGCCTCGGGACACCGTCTCGCGCGGTAAAAGACGCGAACCGCCAGTCCCACCACAGCCGAGGCAATCGATGCCTGATTAGTGACGGTCAGTACAATAAGAAAGAGCTTCCGCGACACGCAAGCCCGTGCTTTAGCGGGCCACCGTCTGCTCTAAAGGGACCACCCCCCAAATACACTGAACGCAATGCTTCTAAGAAAATAAGCACTCACGACATCACTCGCATAACGCAGTGAAACATGAAGTTTTTTTTTTTTTTCATTTTTCTTTCCCTTTCATTTTCTGACTCAAAATATTATAAATGTGAGTGCCAACGGCATGTACCCTAGGCCAGACTCTGGCCTAAACTGTCGAAATAAACAATTTCGTTGTTACCGTTCTCACGAAGGATCTACCGGACAATTTGCAATGCTACGGCACTTTCGCCACCATATATAGAGAGAGAGAGTAAAATGTCTTGAGGGGGCGGGGGGGCACCCTTTGCTTTGGCAAAATGAAAGCTCTCCACCCTTGTGGATCAAGGCACCGTAAAGAACTGTAGCTAAGCCTTCCTCGTGCAAGGGTTGGAAAATATGATGTTCTCTTCAAAAACCTCCATAGGAGAAATCAGAGGTGGGGAGGCCAACACACTTGTGCACCTCTCCCCCAAATTGCTACCCTTGAGGAGCTGCATCCTTGCTGCATCATCTTGTGAACATTTACACAGCTGAAATGTGCCGTGAGGAAATAGCCATGCATAAATTAACTTCCAAATTTAAATTCTCCAGTAAGTCCCCTCCTGGGCAGGGGGGATGGATCTACACAGCCACCCAGAGGCAACATCCTTATTCTCCATGAACAAAAATGGAAAAGCTGTGCCTTAGTTTTCCAGCAAAGTAAACTGATCGCACATTTATTTAGCAGCAATTTATGGCGAAAAATTGGTGATGAATGAAGGTATAATTCCGTTGAGCTAAAGTTTTGAATATGCACTCTGCTATCTGCCAATGCTTACATGAACATGACAGATTTGGAACAATGATTTTGTGAAGATACACTTGCTGCAGAAAGCAAGTGTACTATATAATTTAATTGCTTGCTTAAACATTGAAATTAAGAGGAGCAAGCTTCAACATGAAGCGAACTCCAACACACACTGCTCAAACAAATGCTGAGCCCATTTCAATGATTTACATTTAAGAAGGCTATATTGTACCAACTGCTAGAAGCTCAATTTTGTTGTATGTGTACTAGCTGTTAGTACTATAGCTAAGGGCGAGCAAAAAAATGCAAAATCAATGCAAGATAAGCTCTACACCGCTTAAATGGTTTCATAAAACTATTCAGATGTAAAAACAGCACAAGCTTACATTTAGAACCAATCTTAGGACCTAGTTTAACTAGGGAGACTATGTAATAATTTGCAATGTAATGGAATGCACCGTGTGAAAAATGGCTCAGTGAAGAGTGGCACTAGTGAAATCAGATTATCCTTGGACCTGCATGCAGTGTTAGTATATATTTGATTCTTTTGAAGAAACTTTGGGCTTGTAAGTGCTTCCAATAGCCCCTGCTAGGACGCCTCCAAGTGAGTCGCTGCTCTGGATGTTTATTAAGTATTTTGCCTTCATCTGTTCCAAAATTGGTGCTCAAGCACTGCTCAGATTCTTTTGTTGATTGGGCTTTATCATAAATATCACCTTTATATGCTATTTTTTCTTTCAGTTATATCATAATGCCAACAGTTCGGGACTCACTATGCCTGTGCTTCAGCGCTATTTACGCTTATAGGCGGCTTTCACTGTTTTGATCAATCGTCGGCTTGGTAGAATCGTTGCAGTTGTGGAGCTGGGGACAGTGCTCACAATCTAGCTTTCTTATTTAAACCTGCCGAAACAACACTTGCAACCACTGCTTACAAGCTACAGAGCAGCATAAGTGCTTGAAGGTACTGGATTTTTTGTTTTATTAGTCACCAGACATCCTGAAGGAGTTTTGGGGGCAGGCATAGTGCAATTATTGCTAAAATTAGACCCTTGTAACAAACATAGCAGCAGTTCCAGTGCAGATTCATTTTTACTTCACCAATAACATATATCACAATTTTTAACTTTTCGAGCCCATAATATTGACTTCGTATTTTTACCCTACAGAACATACTGTCGTAATAGTTTACTGAACAAGTGTGGCAGGGCATACGTTGGATATGTTTGCACATTCAAGGGTACTGAATAACTTTTAAGCAGATTTCAGACATGCCTAGTTGTAGTGAACGGGGTTTGGCTTTGCAAAACTTTTCCAATGTACTGCACTACACACATTTCAGGCATTGAAGTTTCACAGATAACAGTCACTGAAATAAAACTAAAAGGCTGCAGACTTAGTGTGGCACTTCATGTAATTATTTTGAAACGACTATACTATTTGACTTGATTGAAATGTTCAATATATATAACATTAACTTACAGGCGATTAATTCAAACTAACCAGTCTGAAACCTAACTACCAATTCATTATACAAAATGTTTTTTGAGGAGCAAGAGTGATACCAAGTCTTGTACGTTCCACGCATTCGATATTGCCATACATATGTGCTCACTTAGTGGGTTTAGAGACAATTCAGGTACTGTGGCTACCATGGTTTCCAAAAATGCTTACACAAGCTTTGGGAATGGCAATTTATTCAGTGGTTCCATAACTTTAGTGCGAGGAGCATGATTACAGACTTCCCAGCCACATGCACTGCATGCCACAGCAAAAATTCATAACTGAGCATATATATAATGCTGTACTTGCTGAGCAATAAAATGAAATTAACAGCGCCGAAGATTCAGTCTGATTTACACTGACGACTCTTCAAGCACAGTCGGGCAAGCAGGCCAGCCATCTGAAGCAAGGAGTGCACACCTTGCAATGTTCTCATCTGTGTGTACCCTATTTCCTTGATGAATTCTAGTTTAATGTCTTCTCGTATGTCGTGGCTCTTGCAGACGCGGAATACGTTCACAATGATGTCCTCGGCGGCATAGCCAAGTTTCCACATATGCAACATGATCTTGTACGCATTGTCCAGCTGACCGTCCACGCAGTACTGCAGCATGTCTTTTATTTGTTCTGGATGGGGTTCGTCACATACCTTGAAGACATTCTGGCTGTTTACGTGTCCAAAACCCACCACCGTAGACTGGAGGTTGTTGATTGCCTGGCGCATGTCACCCTGGGCAGTGAACACAAGAGCTTCCAAACCATCTTCTGAGTAGCTCGCATTCTCACGCTGACATATATCCAGCAGTTTTGCCAGCACTTGCGCATCCGTCAAACGACTGAAACGAACAACAGCGCATCTGGATTGAATTGGCTCGATGATTTTGTCCGACGTATTGCAAGCAAAAGCAAACCGCGTGGTTTTTGAATAAATCTCCATTGTGCGACGCAAGGCTTGCTGCGCTCCCTCCGTCATGCTGTCTGCTTCATCAAGAATAATTATCTTGTGCTTTCCTGGTGGCAGCGTCACTTTTTTCTGAGCAAACATCTTGATCTTATTTCGGACAACGTCGATACCTCGATCGTTTGATGCGTTAAGCTCCAGAACGGCCTCACGAAATGCAGGACCGAGAAGGATCCGCGCCAGGCAGAGGATTGTTGTCGTTTTGCCCACACCGGGAGGACCAGACAAAATTACGTTGGGTACGTTGCCTTCGCGTGAGAAAACTTCCAACCGTGCGATAGTCTCTTCATTGCCTACGATTTCGGTGAACTTCACGGGCCTGTACTTTTCAACCCAGGGAATGCAGTCCCTCTTTTTCTGACTGTCTTCCGCGTCGATATCCATGGGCTCTGCCATAACAATAAAGTTTCTAACGTAACAAAACTTGTCCAACAACGTTATAACGTTGTGGGAGTGCACTGAAGCGGCTGAAAGCTTTCAAGCCTGAATCTACCGTTCGCACAAAAAAACCGCGCGAAAAACGTTCGCAAACTGCAGCACCCTCCAATAAAAATGACCACTCACAATACAAAGCACTCAGTGATTCAGCTTCAGTGCAGTAGCCAGCGCCGCCGCGTCGCAAGCTACGTACAGAGTTACCACTGGAGTTATGCGCCGAGGCGGTATTTCGACCAGCGGCGGTGTGGGGGTCGTTCTATGAAAAGATCCCTTCCTTCATGGTTATATTTCCTTCCTCCGTGTTCATGGTAAATAAGGGTAGCGGTGGCGTTGTAAACTAACTTATGACCTAGAGAGGGGGCCAAACTGGTAGGTGTTCTGTGATGGCGCTGGCAGGCTTATCATCATCATTGCGCTAGGGCAATATGGCGGCTATTTTGGTTGCGGGTGTGGGAGGTCGCAGTGCGCGCCCGCAGGTGTATGAGCGTTTATACGCTGCTGTTGCGGGGTGATATTCGCGCGCACGGCACCCTAACGTTACTATAAATATTTCCGCTATGCCGCCAGGTGACCGAAATCAACTGGCAGAAAACACGCCAAGCAAGTAAGATCACATTGTTTATTGACAATCGTGAATGCAGCAGTATACATGCAAACAAGGAACACTGTCTTCACAGAGTTGAAAAATGCATGCAGAAAAATAATTAGTAATAGCCATCTGTTTAATAAAATTGCCCGCTGAGATTGCGCAACTTTGTCTCTTGGCTCGTTCAGTCAGACAACGATATTTACTCTGGACACCCCTTGCACAGTACTTAGTACTGTGCTGCCCATTGTCTTTCTCACCACACATGCTGTCAAAAAGAGCAGTGTCAGTACAATTAGTCTGAACCGCAATATGATATTTGACAACGCATTGGCGAGAAGCACATCGCGTTGAATAAAAAAAAATCACCCCACCCTGTTTTGTTAGGTATCCCTGCATATAACATTGTTCTCGATATTGTGTTTAGAATCTGTGTTCTTACCTGCGCGTCCGATCTATTTACGACAAACTAGATCAACTTTCAGTGGTGGTAAGCAAGTGCATCCTGGGAAAACACCATTTACAGGATCATGTTGAAAAGGAAACTTGGTTCACGTTTCAAAAGAGGTAAAAGGGTTGCAGTGACAGGCACTTTAATTGAGTAACAGTTGGTGAATAATGAAATCCTTAGTCAAACATTTCAGCAAGTCAACATTCTTGTGAAAGTTGTCACGAATGACAAGTTAAGAGAATTAGCTACCCTTGCCCTTGCTCGCCTGCTGTAGATCAGCCGACACACGAGATAGAGGATGCCTGTTGGTGCTTTCAAAAGCACTCATTCACAAAAAAGAGATTATGCACCAGTGGATAGCACTCGCAATACACTGCACATGACATATACGCATACAATAGAGACATATAGAACACTACAAACACTAGACAGCTGAGAAGTGCTGGAAGTCACGGTAGCAATGTTAGAAAAATAGGCAGTGAATAATCATTGCAGTCAAATCTGCATAATCAAATTTTTTATGATGTTTATTCACAAAGTAAGGGCCATTTTCTAATCTTTCAGTATTTGCACGCCAAACTGAAGTGAGTTATGTGCACAGCACAGTCAGCTACTTCTCAGCGAAAGTACTGAAGTGATTGTTCTGGCTCAGTAGTCATCTTCTTGATGGGAAATGCAGACAACAATGTTGGCGAATATTGTTCTCCCGCCTGTTATGGGGTGCACACTATATTTACATATTTGCATGCAAAAGAATCACTAGCTTTTCCAATTTACGAGGAGTTGTTTACAGTTCATGGACCAACTGTGAGGAGTGAAACAAGTGTCGGAACACGGTGTTGAGGCTTCCAAAATGGCTGCACAAATACATACAAAAAAGAGTGGAGCACCACGCCAAGCACCCATACCAACCAAACTGTTCAAGTGGACAGGATATTGTAATAAATTGAGGACTAACAGCTACTGGTCTGTAAGACAATGTTCCCCCTGTTGGCCTCGCTACAATTTGCACAAATATAGCCAATAGGCCCAGATATCACAAAGCTAGGTTTAAAAAATGCTTACCGACCAACTCAAACACTAAAGGACATCAAGTGGATGAGCGTTTTTGGACTGCTACCAATAAAACAGGGATGATTTGTTTTTACACACTGTTGCACATGGGACGACGCTTAATAGTGTACATAATTGCAGAAACAACACAGTGGTGCCACCACTCCTTTTCACAAAAACCGAAAAAAAATCAAGCAATTAACTTACCCCAGTTAGAAAATGATAGCCACCATTTTCCAAGTCAAAAAGGCAATTTTTATTGTTTAATTTCATGAAATGTGGGCCACACTTACAGCTGACATATACTGTGAAACACTCACCACAGTACAATACCAACAATACACTCACCAAGTACAATAAACATTGATGACGTCACAAATTTTCATCCGCAATTGGCCTCCTACATGACAACATGCATCCTTGCACCACAATCATAACCGATGGGAACGTCAAATATTTTGGTAGGGAACACCAATTGTTCGCTCTACTGTCCTGTGCCGGCACCGTGTGATTATTTGCTCTTCTTTCACTTGAAACAGTAGCTTGGGGTACGATTTGAAGACAGTGCGATTGTGCTTATCGTTGCCCATGTGCTTGGCGAATGCGGATGGTGTTTGCAGCGCTTGAACTTGTACTATGGTACCTTGCACTAGACACCGCACTTGCACTGCACTACGTGCTTCAGCGTTATTTTTGTGATTGCTAATATTTGATTTTTTTTTTCGTGTGAGGTGCCAGCGTTCATTGTACAAATTTAATGAGCGTGAAAAAGTGTGTTTTTACTGTGCTTGATCGGCAACTTGCTTTGACTGTTTTGCCACTTGCTCATCGAATGTATCAATTAATGAGTGGCATAACTGGTGTTTTATCGGCCAACAAGGCCGATTTTCTCTGTTGGTTAAGCCATGCAAGTGTTACACTATGTAATTTGCACTATCGTGCATAAATGTAGAAGCGAGTTGTTCATGGTTGAGACACACGAATAAAATTGAAAGAGCCTGTATGGCACTACTCAAGCCTCATACAGCTGCACGATCGATAGTTGTACATAAACAAGTGTTTGACGCCTGGGTATATAGTATGTGCGGTTTGCATCCCGCAGGTTTTCCTGCCCACACGTGCCTCATTTTCTGGCGTGAAATGGCACCCTTGTAAGCAATTAATAAACTAGTATCAATCCCCTTTGAAAATTAAAAAAACAGATAGGCACCTGTTTTGTTTTTTCTGTAATTAGAAAGTAAGTTAACTTCTAGGGGAAAAAACTTCATCCATGTAGGAGAACAGCAAAAAAAAAAGCACTGAAAAAAGTGGTGACTTCTTTTAATATATAAATATGTTGTACAATGACATAATTTACCGTTTGAGACTTACGTATATCATTGAAGGAAGGTGACTGTGGTGTATTTAGCAAAACAGACGAATGTTGCACGCATAGATATATGTTCGACAGTCACATATGTTTTATATAACCAGTTGTTTACATTTGCATAATGATGCCAGCAGCAACACGTGTGTTAGGAATATCAGACGTGGTTATTCAGTTAATTCTTCATGAATCTACGGCAAATCTATGCCATAGAGTTTCATACAATAATGCCTGTAATGTAGCGCTTGTGCTCTCAAGGATGGTAGCCCCGAACACTGCTACATAAATCTACCAAAGTGTATGGCGCTTAACTACAACTGACGTGAACTGGTCATGATGGCTGCATCATAGGAGTGTATCTGTAATTTTTATAAAATTCAATTGTTAACATTGCAACTGAAATTGACTTTGTGCCTGAGTGGTGTCTATTTCCACAGCAGTGTCGAGACCTGGTGTGGCTCTGTAGTAGAACACGTGATTGCCACGCAGAATGTTTGGTTTTCGTTACTGCTGGGGTCCTGATATTTATTCATTGCATATATAGGGTCAACACTGACTTTTTTTTTGTTGTCGTGTTAAAATTACCAATATTATTTCTTGCCATTCTTGTGTAGACGAACTGTCAATTACCTGGGGCACATAGCCGCATACCTGCCAGATGTGTGCCGCACATCTGGAAGAAAGGGTTTGACGACATACACGACGGGATTGCGGCATTATTCATGACCTGACGGGCAATCATATTCATCAAAACATCTTACCCTCCCATACTAATTTGGTCTACCTAATGCTAAAGCAGTGATCACGAGAGCGACCAGATGTAGGCGGCTAGATACATAGATAGATAGATAGACTATTGAAGTCAATTTCTCCTTAGTCAATTGAACGGTGCACGATGGAAAATTTTGTTATAGGTGTGACGTAACTAAACACTCGCTGTCTCATTTTCTTTAATGAAGTTATTCTTTTCAGCGTTGTATGAGCAGGCCAAGTTGTATGTGTTGTATGTGCAGACTGCTATCTTAGAACAACTAAAGCATCTTGTGAAAATAGTCCACTTGTCTGCATCCACTGTTGCTCGCAATCCTATCTCCCCCCTCCCAACCTACGCATTTTAGATACCAGGCATACAACTGGTAGATGACTGTTTTTTCAGCAGCAGCTTGCTACAACAACAGTGCTAAGAAAAAAGACATACACTAAGCAACAGACCCTAACGAGGAAATCTTGACATGCATGTCATGTAAAACACGACTACATGCTACGTTCATAGTGCTCTTTGGTTGTTTTGCTAGCTTCATATACATCAAATTTGGTGTTACGAGACATCAGTAGATGGTGAAGGTATATGATCAGTGCAAACATAATGAACATGACATCATACCACACTCATGATGCAATCGTGGCCGTTTCACTAGCTTAACATATAACAAATTTGGTAATTATGTGACGTGAATGAACAATGAAGGTAAATGACACATCCAAACATGATAATCATGATATGCATGTCATGTAAAACATTACTTTATGCTACGCTCATAGCGCGCTCGCGGCCGTTACGCTAGCTCCACATATACCAAATTTGGTATCACGTGACGTGAATAGACGATGAAGGTAAATGACATGTCAAAACATAATAATTGTAACATGGAAGTCTTGT